CCCCAAAACCCCAAAACCCCAAAACCCCAAAACCCCTAATTTCATAACTATGTTGAATTTTAAAACTTTTGGCCAAGTGAAATGTTAAGGCCATCTCTGAAATTCGGCAACTTGAACAGGTTCTTCTTCTTGATCTTTATTCTAATCTGCTGAGATCCATCTGCTTCTTGATATAAAGGCTCATAAAGTCCGCCGATGAGGGACAACTTTGGCTTCTTTTTGTCATTTTTAGTATTCAAGATCGGTTCAGAAATATTGTATTTTTGCACTATGAAAAGTTATACCAACACAGATATTTTATTTACAAGGTGATGGAATGTGTTCGAGGCATTTTGACTGTATCTCAAGAACTCGTTTGGTATATTTCCCTCCTGATCTTTTCGCTAGAGCACTTCTATTGATCTAATCAAAGACTTACTTTCTACTTTTAAAAGAAGTTTTGATCTGGTCAGTTCCAAAAGCAGAGGTGCCAAGAGTATCATTTCGAGCACCACTTCTGTCCCTTTTAGGAATCATTGTGATAATAGAAAAATTGTTAGTGCGGCGGGAGACTTTCTGAATGTTCTTGAATTTGTTTCTGTTCCTACATTTTTGATAAGTTTGAGAATACTTTAAAACCCATTTGCTTCTGTAGAGTCCATCAGCTGACTTTTGGTAGTTGTTGAGCATCCCAAAGGTAAGGTTATTTCTGGTCTTTGCTTTAATCTGAAGATTAGAGGAAATATTACAATATTTCTGTTTTTGTTCAATGCTTGATGAATTTTAGATTTATTTTTCTAGACGTTGGCCCCTCTCTCTTTTAACCCTTTCAGTCTAAAGATGTAACAATTTGAGTACGCTCAAGTTGAGGTTGATGATATTAGCCATTTTTGACTTTCTATAAAGATGAATTCAAACAATTTGTAAGCAGTAACAGAAGATAAAGGAACTCCAATTAAATCGTAAAACAGCCTTCCTTTAATTATAAATTTCAGCTTCAAAGCTAATGATAAAAAATTACCCAAAATTTTAATAGAATCAACTTACCTATCCTTAGGCAAAGAAACATCAGTCCCTTTCCTTACAAACTCCTTTTCAAATGTATTCGAGCTAAAATCTATCATCTTCCCCCTGTAGCTATAGTACCGTGCTGTTTTCTGTATTGAGTGAGGTGAGGAGGCTTACGTTGGGATTTTCGACAAAGGCTTCTTGGTTATAAGTATTGAAGCTATAGTGAGGATGGCTTGGGGGCTCTTACACTGGTAAGTTTGGAGGTCAAATTAGGTTTTTTAATTTTAAGTCTTGGAAGTTGTTGTGGAGGCTATTTTGGAGCGGTTTTCTTACTTTCTTGATAGTGAGTTGTGGCCTTGAACTAATGTAGCTTCTGAATCATTATAAGACATTTTCAATTATATATTTTGACTGGGGTTTTGGGGTTTTGGGGTTTTGGGGTTTTGGGG